GCTGCATGCTGGATGTTACTGTGCGAAACTCCCAACTCCTAACAACAGGAATAGGTGCAAATTCCAGCTTCGTCTTAAAAAAAAAAAAAAAAGAGGATGGGAGAAAGACTTCATCTTGCAATGCAGAAGAGTAACGTTTGAGAATGTGGGTATTCTTAAAGCTCAGAAAGCAAAAATACGCACCAAAAATGTTTAATAAATTGCTATTTTAAGACTCATCTCTTTCAGAGATGTGCTTCCTGTAATTTACTCTGGGTTTCTATGAAAAGAAGGTGTACGTGATTGTACTGTCTCCATGTGCACGCATCTGCCAGCCTTTCCCCCATCCTAATCCCACTCACAAAGTTCCAAAAACCTGCCAAAGAGGGATGGGTCCCAAAACTACTGCCTGGCGTAGTACTACCTCTGTGGTGCTGGCAGCTAGCAATAAAAAAATGTTCCTGTTTCTGCTTCCACTGCGATGTGAGTTAGTCCCTTCCCATCGACCATCAGAAAAGCCTCTTCAGCAAAACCTCACGGGAAACCGTGCTGTGCGAGTTCTGCCCTGCACGGGACCCCTGCTTTTGAAGGTTTTGTGTGGGCACAAGAGTGCACAGCTGCCAGCTGAGCACTTCTCAAACCAGGCAGGGTCTTTTATAAAGCCTCTGCATCTTCTGTGCCTCCTGCATTACAGCCAAAAATGGGGCACCAGGAGGGGAAGGGGCCGAATTCTGCCCACAGCTGTGTGGGTGAAAATCTACTGGAGCAGCACTGTATCTTTAATACCACACATCTTACCCTGTGCATGGTAAAAAGCGAGATTCTGATGACCCACTGAATACCCCCCTACCCCGGCAAGAGAGCAGCAATCGTCACGTTTTTAGGTATGCTTCCAGGGGGGGCACTGCCCACCCCGTGGGTGTGCTGTACAGCTGCCCCAGGGTATGCCGCTCCCTCCGCGGCCAGGACCAGCGGAGGCCCCGAGGGCTGGAGGAAGGACAGATCGCCACCCCCCACCCCCACCCCCGTCCCGCCCGAGCAGCA